ATAGACGTTTGCCATCCGCTGCTAAATGGGTGATTGACAGAATGACGTACATAAGGTATTTGTATGAATGCTTAGTTTTACATTCTACGTCGAAGTATGTAAATAGAATATGCCCATTACACTAATAGTTTCTCGTGGCTTTTCAGTTCCCATTCTCGTGAGAATATTGTTAATAAGTCTCATATATGTATATGATAATGTTAAAGAACAGCTAAATGGACTGAATTACCATTCATTCAGTCCATTGTCCATACAAATTCATACAAAAATTGTTCACTTGTATTTTTTTTTAATGGGTGGACTTAAGCCTTCCCCGTATGGGGAGTTCTGCCAGTAGTTACCACGCTTGGCAGGCGGGTTGGTAACCGCAGTTAGGCTTTTAGAGATGTTTTAAGATTATTTAACATGGAAAGGGATTGTTAGTAATGGGGTCTAATTAACACATTGCTAGCAATACACCCTGTCAGGTCGACCTCCACGCGGTTCCCCCTGGAAACCATCGTGGTTAATTCTAGTGGAACTCGTCACGATGGGCTAACTGACCTGCTTTCATCATCACGTATCATCTCTCACTGGTGGCCCGCCAGCGTATACCGATAGCGCAGGCGGAGTTACCATACTATTATCACCCATTAATAAAAAAAACATAATTGAAGCAATGACAACCAATACCTCTGTAACTGCTATGTCCATAAAACGACAGGAAAATTGCTTAGAAATTATATGTACGAATTACATCATCACTTCAATTATACTTCGTACTCAGAAATATCTCTGAAGTCACCATGTTCAGTCCACAGAGTGTGTTCTAATTATTTGAGAGGTCCGTCTAAATATCTGCAATTAAAAAAATATATTATATATGCGTATAATTATTAAACGGAAACTTCATACAAAAGGCTGTTTGTGTTGTGCTTACTTTACTTACTTGTGATTAATTACTAATCACTAATTTCTACTAATTTTAATTCAATTATACTATAATAAATCAATCCCCCACTAGATGGAGTGACGACATGAAATGCGTTGAAGAGTCAGTGGACGCAGGGGGCTCAGGACCGTTTTTTATGGCAGTCTATGGGGGAGGCTTATGTCCATCACTGGACGGATAATGGCTGAAATGATGAATAACTTAATTTAAAAATTAAAAATAATCAATTAGAATTGTGTTTAGATTTGAAAAAAATATCAAATATGGGAATGAAAGTTAAATTTATGCATTATAATCTAGAATTTATAAATTACCCTGTGTTGTTGAGGTACCAGAGGGCCTACCACGAAATATTTTCCGAAATTTCGGGGACGAACGAAATAGAAATTTGATTTTTTTTTTATACGACTTAGAATGGCAAACAAGCTGACGGCCTACCTGATGGAAAGTGGTAACCGTCGCCTATAGACATGAGCAGTACCATGGACATAACAGAGTATACTGTTTCGCCCATGATACCCCCCATGCGTTGCCATTCCTGAGGACTCAGGTGTTATTCCTCTGTACCCAGTAAATTCACGCCATATCCCACCCTTCAAACCGAAACACAGCCATGCAAACACAACTGCTTCACGGTTGAAACACGAATGGGACAGAGGTACCCAAGCAATCGACTTTTGTACAAAGTCTCCCTCTGGTGAGGGAGACTTTGATGTTAAAATTACATAATACATGCCGTTTAAAATTATTAAAAATATTAAAATATCGTTCCTCTGGACTATTAGGATAGGATTTATGATGAACGAAACGTTAAGCTCCATTTACTGGGTCGATTTAGGTACGAACAAAAACATGAAATTGAGCCCGAAAATTCGTGGCAACGAATGTCTAAAGGCACAATAAACTCTTTATTGCGCACAGTAGAGATGTATACAAGGAGTATTTATACAGAATGTGCACATACAAAAGGCGGCCTTATCGCTAAAAGCAATCTCTTACAGACAACCTGGCATAAAGAATGGATAAGTACAGAGAGAAAGGTAGATGGCGCTAATCAGACATAGTAAATACATAAAAGGAATCAAACAAAATGCAAAATATTCTAAAAATATAAAAATAAGGTTACAATACATAAACATACATATATAATATAAATAATAATACATAAACATAAATATACTAAATAGATCAAGATAAATCACACATAGTAAACGTCAAAGCAAATTAGAGAGATAGGTAATGAGATTTTACCTGCCTCTAGAACACCGAGACACGGGCCAATTGAGAAAAAGTCGTTTCTTAAATTGGCTCTAAATTGTATTTTAAATTCGTACAATAATTAAGGATTATTAATATTTAAGGCGTCCCTCCACTAAATGGAGTAACGACTTCGAATGCGTTGCAGGGAGCGAATGCAAAAGGCTCAGGACCGTTCCTTTTGACAATCTATTGGAGAGGCTTATGTCCAACAGTGGGCGGATAATGACTGCATTGATGATGATTCATATTTTAACTGAATTGTATGATTAACAGTTTTTTCCGCCTGAATTTAAGATACTTTATTAGAGACTGCATTTAAGACTTTCAAGAAAAGAGTATATTCCTTTTTAAAAGGCCGGCAGCACACCTGCAATGCCGTTGGTGTTGTGGGTGATCATGGGCGGCGGTAGTCACTTACCATCAGCTGAGACGCAAGCTCGTTTGCCCCCTGTGTTGTAAAAAAGACTTGATTTTATTTCTACTCGTTTGTGACATTGCTACTGATCAGTCAGCAGGCACTGAATTTTATGACATAGCGAAATTAGGTGTTAAAAGGCGTAACACCATAGTCCTCAGGAATAGTAACGTATGCTCGATACCATGAGCGTTATAATACACCATTTGATGTTTACATGTGCTGTACATCTCTATTGGAGGCAGTTACCTTATATAATGTGGACTGGCACCTTGTTTACCATTCTGAGTTACATAAAACAAATTACTCGGTTCTGTGATTGACCACAAGTTCAACCATTATGGTAATTGTAGAAAAAAAGAATTTTTCTAAGGTTTTCCTGTATAATAATCATACAAATTATCATAATACCAAATAAAGAGGGGGAAAGGGATTGTTAGTAATGGAGACTGAGAATCCTATTGCTAGCAATATATCCAACCAGGTCGATCTCCTCGCGGTTCCCCCTGGAAAATATCATGGTTAATTCCTGAAGAATTCATTATGATGGGCTAACTGGCCTGTTTTCATTCTCATCTGTCACTCTTCACTGGTGCTCCGCCAGCGTATTCCGTTAGCGCAGGCGGGGTTACCATACAATTTTCACCCATCAAAAAAAAAATACCAAATAAACATACCCACTGTTAAGATAAGTGGTTGATATAAATTTTAACACATGTGGAAACAAAAGTAGAAATATGAAACCTAGATTGTATCCGGGTTCTAGATCCCATTAAAGAAGTTTGTAAGTCATAAAGTGGTACGGACTCACCTTGACTGCAGATTTAATACGTGTGTACGCTCAGGATGCACCAGGTTTCAGGAAGGCACGCCACGTGAATATCACAATGGCGCCGATATATATTAGTCTATATCTCGTGTAAAATCACACTATATATATACATATGATATGTAATCACTCGCGATACTTGTGAGCGATCTATAGGCAATGTCCAGAGAGTTCAGGAGTTCTCCACACAGTAGGTACGTTGTTAATCAAGGTAGGCACAAAAACAGCAGTTGTTGTACAGTGTTCCGCGGTAAACGTTAGACTGAGCCAACCATTTTGTCAGTTCGTCTTAAGTCAGGGGTTTTCGGTAGAATATAACGCGATTGGGGGGATTAAAAATTTTATAGGGATGTGACTCTCTTAAACTTATTCGTATAAAAAGGTCATATTCTTCAGATCTTCAAGTTTTTCTTGGGTCAATAAATGACGTAGAAAGTTATATGATGACACGTTGTAAACGTTATAAAGTTATACGGTTTGTAGAATGGAACATGGCAATGAAATTACAGGGTACAGAGGCATAACACTTTAGTCCTTAGAAATGGTAACACATAAAGGGTACATGAGTGACACATTATACTCTGTTATGTCCATGATACAGTTCATGTCTATAGGCGACGGATACCGTTCCATTAGGCGGTAAACAAGTTGACGGCTTGTTTACCATTCTGAGTTGCATAAAAATAAAAGAAAAAAATCTCATGAAGAAAAAATTGTGGCTACATAATAATTATACTCATACATAGATAGAACTCCAAGACCAATACATGTATTATTGATATCGCGAGAATCGAATTCATGAGCATCTAAAGATGTGGAAGTAAAAGTAGTATTAAAGTGAACACTTAACGGCTGGTAAATATAATGTACAGGTATAGCTCCACAGTTCCAAGGCACGTCTCTTAACATCTCTAAAAGCATTGGGATCCTTGGTGTCGACATCTCTAGTGATGTACAGTTCCGTGGCCACCTCGAAGAAGGTGAAGCTGGCATCAAAAAAACTCAGTGTGCTCAATAGAGCGAAGCATTACTTTACGCCGGATCAGCGATTAATGCTCTACAAATCGCAAATTGGCCCCACATAAAGTATTGCTGTCACTTATGGGCTGGAGCATCTAAATACCAGCTTGAACCCTTCGACTCGTTGCAAGGACGAGCTATGAGAATTGTCGATGATCCCAGGCTCACAAGCGGTATCGAACATTCAAGTCTTAGGAGAGATTTTGCCTCACTTTGCGTGTTCTACCGCTTGTACAATGGATTGGGCTCAGAGGAATTGTTCAATATGATGCTCACAGCCACTTTTTTTTTGCGTACTGCGCGGTTTCAGAGATGTTTCCTCCCACGAACACTCAGGTTGTGGAATGAGCTCCCTGCCGAGGTTTTCTCAAGTGCCTACAGCATGGGGTTCTTCAAAAAAGGGGTAAAGAGGTTTCTTCAGGGTCGGCAACGCACGCGTAATACCTCTGATATTGCAGGTGTTCATAAGCTACGATAACCACTTACCATCAGGTGGGCCGTATGCTTGTTTGCCACCTCAGTGGTATAAATAAAAGAAAAACGAGTTGAAGATAGAAAAATTTACTAATTTATAATAACAACAATAGTATTAACAATCTTATCCTAAAAAAAATATATTGTCAGATGGTTAAGTCATGGTGAATTTGTTACAATGGACCAACTGATCTGACTTCTCCCCTATTATCATTCACAGGTTCTCCGCTAGCGTTTACCAATAGCTACCATTACCATTATCATTCTATAAAAAACTAAATACATTTGTAAGTATATTACATAGCTGAGTAACATTCTGTTTGCTTAACTAAGAACAAGCTCGTCGATGGGCACTGCTTTGAGGAAAGCCTTAATGGAATTCACGATGGCCTCCAAAATGGAATGGATCACCGGCGGCGCCAACTCCTCCATTACGTCTTTCCAGTTTGTGTTCAAGAATGTATGAATCGGCTCGGCTAAAGCAACCAAACAATATCCAATTAAAACAAGTAATAATGTTCCAAATCCTATGAAAACTTGGAACATTAACAGGGGAGAACTCTTTTTTTTTAAAGTTTATATTTTTTTATAGAATGGCAAACAATTTTACACCCCACTTGATGGTTGGATAATGGTGATAGCACTATGGTCATCACGGAACAGATAGCTCTCTTTACACACTATATACACTATGAATCTCATGCTTTTGTCAACTTTTTGTCAGGTTATTGTCAAATTAACTGATAAAAACTTGACCTATTTTTGAGGGTTGATCTTATCTTATCTTATTTTTCGCATATGGGGTCAGCTAAGCCGATGCACGTCGACCCATACGGATCTTTTGTGCTTCCCCCTGCCTTACACCATCATTTCATAGATCCTATGTGTTACCCTAACGATATCCCGCGGTTTAAGATATCTGTAGTCCCCTGGTTCTGGATAAGCCTTTCCTAATAGACTCATACGCATACTTGCCAACGAATCGCAATTGCACATCAAGTGTTCCATGGATTACGATTTCTCCCCGCACAGTCTGCACAGTGTGTCCGAAGATAGACCCATCTTGTGTAGTATATGCCTTATTGGCGTATGTCCAGTTAGAGCACCTTGAGGCTTGATGCTCTATCTATATAATCTAAGCATTATAGATGTCGCAAAATGCTCTCGGCTCTCAGAATATAACCGTGTAAGCAAAAGATGACGCTGACCACTCACATTCAGACGGGTCTTGAGCTTCTTGTATAAAAAACCTTTTAAGAAATACTAGATACTACTTACCCAAAACCTCATTTCCATTGAACAAGTTATCGAACTGGAAGTGAGCGCCAGTCTTCACCTGGTACGTGTGTTTCCACTTGTTCACGTGCCAGTGGAGTTTCCCATCGTCCCCTGGCACTGTTGTTATTTCAGTGGTAACTTTAAAAATCATGTCACCTGTAAATAAATAAAACTTTATCACAATCTAGACGTCATTAACTTTATTAAAAGATAATAATTGTCAAGAATTATATATTACTCCTCTCCATCCAAAGGTTGTCTGAAAGAGATTGCTTTTAGCGATAAGGTCGCCCATTGTTTTCTCACTGTGATTAATTCTTGTAATTGTTTGTATTTATAATAAGATTACTATTGTAATCTTATGGAGGGAACAATAAAGAGTATCTGTCTATCTATCTATACGCTACACCGTGTACTCCCGGCATAGAGTAGATCACCCTTTCCTTTTCCATTGGTGTCGTAAGCGGCAACTAAGGGCGAGGGATGGAGAACGACGACCCTCTAAAAATATCTCCAAAGCCTAACTGCGGTTGCCAATCCGCCTGCCAAGCGTGGAAACTACTGGCAAAACCCTCTAATGGGAGGCTTATGCCCAGCAGTGGACAGTTAAAGGCTGATATAATGAAGATGATGCTACGCCACACCAGGTCAAAGAACTTTACCACCTGTCATTACTATTAGACACTACTGCAAAGGGAGACACCAGAGGAAGACTTTGTACAAAAATCGTTTGCTTGGGTACCTCTGTCACATTCGTGTTTCAAGCGTGAAGCAGTTGTGTTTGCATGGCTGTGTTTCGGTTTGAAGGGTGGGATATGGCGTGAATTTACAGGGTACAGAGGAATAACACCTAAGTCCTCAGGATTGGCAACGCACGGGTGGTATCATGGGCGAAACATTATACTCTGTTATGCCCATGGTACTGCTCATGTCTAAAGGCGACGGTTACCACTTTCCATCAAGTGGGCCGTCAGCTTGTTTGCCATTCTAAGTTGTATAAAAAAAAATTAATTATGTACTCTTAATACTCACGTGTCTTAATATTATATTTTCCCTCTCCTTCCACCGGTAATAACACTAGCTGTCCACTCGCTTTGTAGTTCCCAGTTTCTTCTGTCGTACAAAGAATCACTATCAATTGCTCGAGTTTTGTGGTGTCGAGTCTGAAATACACGTAAATGAAAATAATGAAATATTTTGAAGCAATTACCAATTTTACTAAGTGATAATATATAGAATAGATTTTGTTGACAAATGATGACATGAAAGAACGTTGGAAAGTATACTTTGAAAAACCTATAAATGCAGAAAATATTTTAAATACACAATCTCAATCGGATTTTATGTGTTAAAATGTGTGTAAGCATATTCCATTTTAAAAGACCAGCAGCACACCTGCAATGCCTGTGGTGTTGCGAATGATCATGGGCGGCGGTAGTCACTTATCATCATGTGAGTCGCATGCAAATTTGCCGCCTGTGTTATAAAAAAAAAACAACGCGAAATGAAGAAAATGTTTGGAATAATGAACTAAAAGTTAATTTAGTGTCTATAGGTTTAGTGAGCGAAATAAATATGGATGAAGTGATGAAAGCAGTAAAATATATAAAGAATGGAAAAGCTGTTGGGATGGGTATCTGAATACCAGTAGAGGTATGGAAGTTATTGAGAGAATTCTCCAATAAGATTTTGCATACAATGATGAAAAAGATTTTATTGTATTAACGCTTTTGATGAGGGCCGATACCCGATACCGCCTATTATAAATATGGCAGATATAATGTATAACTAAACTGAAATCAGACTTAGAGAAAACAGAGAATAATTTCCATAATATTCTAGCATAAATCTGATGTTAGCGGTTACCTATTAGCCTATAACCCTTTCAGACCTAAGATTTTTTTTCTTACGGATGAAATATATTTTCGTGTTTTTTTTTTATACAACTTAAAATGGCAAACAAACTGACAGCCCACCTGATGGGAAATGGTAACCGTCGCCTATAGACATGAGCAATACCATGGACATAACAGAGTATACTGTTTCGCCCATGATACCCCCCATGCGTTGCCATTCCTGAGGAGTCAGGTGTTTTTTTTGTAATGAGTGATAATGGAATGGTAACCCCGCCCGCGCTATCGGTATACACTGGCGGGGTACCAGTGGAGGATGATAGATGAGGATGAAGCAGGTTAGTTAGCCCATCGTGACGAATTCAACAAGAATTGTTCACGATGGTTTCCAGGGGGAACCACGTGGAGGTCGACCTGATAGTGTATTGCTATGAGTTCATTAAACCCCATTACTAACAATCCTTTCCCCCCGGAGTCAGGTGTTATTCCTCTGTACCCAGTAAATTCACGCCTCGTGTTTTGAAGCCAAGCCATCTTGCAGGCACGCACGAGACTACTGCACCACCTAACCGCTAAAATGATTTCTTATTGGCTGGTTTAGAATCTCACAATCATGTTATTTCAGCTTCGTGCGTAAAAATTAATTGCGCGCGCTTTTAGAATTTTTTAAAGTTACAACTCACACCCGTATTGTTCAGGTCTGAAAGGGATATGCAGTACCAGTGCTATTTAGGGAGAAACTCTAAATTATATTAAAAAAATAAATTAAAGCTTGCTTACCGAATGTCGTTGATCTTGCAATCCTTAAGCCCCGTAATCACGTTGTCAGTCAACGTGAGCTGTAGAGGACCTTGAGTTATGTTTATTATTGGAATGTGTAGGGGATCCAAGGGTTTCAAATCCAGCTCGGGTTGTCCAGCAGCGATATAAGGGAGCGCTGCTCGGGCGGACGCGAGGGTGCAAGTATGGTTTCCATTACGACACGGTGTGATGAAGGGCACTACAGGAGACAAATAATCATAAATAATGACATGAATAAAAAATACATATGTATTATATGTATTACATCTCCCATATCTAGAACTAATAAAATTTTTCATCGTGCCTCCTACCAAATTGTTTATGTACTCCTCTCCATCCAAAGGTTGCCTGGAAGAGATCGCTCTTAGCGATAAGGTCGCCCATTGTTTTCTCATTGTGATTATTTCTTGTAATTGTTTATATTTATAATAAGTTTACTATTGTAATCTTTTGGAGGAAACAATAAAGAGTATCTATCTATCTATCTATAATACATATAGGTATTTTTCATTCAGATTGCTTACTCACTTGCCACCAATTCCCGTTGGACAAGCGTGGTAATGTTTATTTTATAGATGACATGGAATGGTACGGGGATACCATTGGGGTACTTGCGTTACGACATGATTTACGTTGATGGAGCAGTATTTCATATATGAATATATACTTCATATATCTATATAGAGGAGGATGAATTCAGTTCCAAACACATTCCCAAGGAGGGATGACGTTAGGCAGACAGCTGTCATAAAACCAAAACTCAACCGTTTGCGAAATATGAATAAAATATTTTTTTTCTTTATACAACTTAGAATGGCAAACAAGTTGACGGCCCACCCGATGGAAAGTGATAACCGTCGCCTATAGACATGAGCAGTACCATGGACATAACAGAGTATACTGTTTCGCCCATGATACCCCCCATGCGTTGCCATTCCTGAGGACTCAGGTGTTATTCCTCTGTACCCTGTAAATTCACGCCATATCCCACCTTTCAAATCAGCCATGCATACAAAACTGTGGGACAGAGGTGCCCAAGCAAACGACTTTTGTATAAAGTCTCCCTCTGGTATCATATTACATCGACTTCAAATAATTGAGATAAAGGCAGAAGATGATGATGAAATCAGGTTAATTGCCCCATGGTGAAATATTCACTAGGAATTAATCTTGCTGCGCTCTTGTACGAAAAGTGCTGACGCAGTATAAGAAGCGACAACAGTAAAGTAGGGCTAGATTTCTATACATATTTATATCCTTAATGACAAGATAATAGTGATTCGAAATTTGTATATCTTAGCTCTCTGTAAACCCAAAAAAATACCGTGACAGATGTCGTTAAAGATGGAGGGATGATCTTCGAAGGTTCCATAAGAAGTTTTACTTTTACCGGAGGAAAACTATGTACAAAAATCAATCAGCTTGGGTAATGGATAACTTTATTCCACTCATTCTGCAGTAAAACAGCAGTTCGCATGAGTGTGGTTTGATTTGCACAGTGGGATCATCATCATTATATCAGACTTTAACTGTCCACTGCCCCATAAGTCTCCCCTTGAGGGTTTTTTTTTTTGATGTGTGAAAATGGTATGGTAACCCCGCCTGCGCTAACGGGATACGCTGGCGGAGCACCAGTGAAGGGTGATCGATGAGAATGAAAACAGGCCAGTTAGCCGATCATGATGAATTCATCAGGAATTAACCATGATAGTTTCCAAGGAGAACCGCGTGGAGGTCGACCTGGCTGGGTATATTGCTAACAATGGTATTCTCAGTCTCCATTAGTAACAATCCCTTTCCCCCCAACCCCTTGAGGGGTTTGCCAGTAGTTGCCACTTAGTCGCCTCTTATGACACCCATGGGAAAGGAAGTGATGGCCTATTGTATGCCGGAACTACATGCATAAGAGTGGGGTATGGCAGTGAAATTACAGGGTATGGAGGATGGATAAGGAGGGATGTAATGCCTTCAGTACAACATCACAATCTTCAGGAACATCAACGCATGAGGAGCATAATGGGTATCATAATGTATTCTGTAAATCGTGTTTTTCAAATTTATGGGTGAGCCAGCTATATTGTCAGTTTCCATCATGACACCCCATGTCAGCTTGTTTGTATTTTAATGAATGAATGAGTATACTCTATTTGCATTATACAATATAGGAAATAAGCAAGACAATTCACAAATGTAACGATACAGTTGTATAAGTACAGTAAGGCGGTCTTATTGCTGAGAGCAATCTTTTCAAGACAACTTTAAGGTAACGGACTAATTGTTGTACAAGTAGGTATGATAGTGCTGTATAATTAAAAAAAGCATCTTTTGCAAATTAAAATAACTGATATCTTTCCTGCACTGGATTTCCCAAATTAAATTATTTTCTCTCTAACTACACTGGGTTGGCTGGAAGAGATCTCTTTCAGAGATAAGTCCTCCCTTGCTAACAAGTTGTTAAACTAATCGTCGCATATATTGTTTAAGTGCAATAAAGAATATATATATATATATATATATGATAAATTTAATCATTATTATAAAAGAAAACATATTTTTCTTGACTAGCGAGCATGGGAGGTGAAAGCAGTTACTCAGTAGACATAGGTTATAGGTTATGAATGATGCTGAAGGCGATGCATATTCTTACCTAAAGAACACGTTGCGCTGATGATCAAGGTGAACAAATAAATAATGCAACACAACATTTTGAGAAGCTCATAAAACTAGGATAATTATCCTATTACTTAATTAAGTGACATAGTAGTAAACTGTATATTTTAGTAAATGCGCGGCCTGGCGCTTGCCCGTTTATATACATATGTCGCGACATTTGTGACCTCACAACTCCTCGCAAACTAGTCTAGGCTAAGTTAGCTATATGTTTCAAGTTTTTTTTAAATTAATATTATTTCGCATATTTTTTTCTTTCTTGATGTTTTAATTAATTTTTAATCTTTTATTATTTAAGACAGAGTCTCTCCATACAAATGCTTCAACAAAAGCGGGTCAACTTTTTCATACAATTTTGCGTGATGAATAATTATGTGCGTTTTCTTTCTTTAACTTCTGTATTTATTTTGTATTATAAATTCTGCATCTTTTTAATGCGTTCACGCTTATTCTATATAATAAATAATTATTTCTCAAACATGATTGGAAATGTGAGCATTATTTTGACAATCTTCTTAGAGATAAATCAAAATTGCCGTACTGGCCAGATACATGCGGGCAGCGGCCGGCAAAAGTTGTATGAAAATCCATATCTGTCTGTGTTTTGCGGCCAGATAAATTACTATGTAAACTCATATCTGTCCTGTAATTTAAAAATGGAATGACCTTTTACTTCGAAACATGGCTACCAAGGAGGTAACTTATAAAAGGTTTTATTTAAAATTCGAACTGGCTTGTAAATAGAAAGCTGTTTATTGAAAAAAAAAAAACAAAGGAACATTATGGCGCGTGAAAATATTTTATTATTAAGTTATTCGTCATTGAACTTAAAAAGTAAAATTGTGTTTTTGATTTCCGCGCATTGTTTGAGAAAAGTACTATACAAGTCTCGGCCACAACTAGGCATTGTTGGTCTCACGTATGTGTGCCTCGGCTACGCCTTGGCCCACATATGCACGTTCGTCCATCAATGCCTCAGTTGCGGGCCGTTGCAGTAATGTACTAAATATAGATACGTCAAGATACATTATGCGCGTAAGTACATACAATACTGATAAAAACAAGTCAGCTAATTTGACATTTAGCGGACAAAAATTTAACCTGTTTTTGAGATATTTTTAAGATTCGATCTAATGACCGTTAAACAACAGATCGAGATCGATCCATCCTGATTCTGTGTGGTTTTTCTTATTCAATCAAAGTATGTTTGTTACCTCATGACTCCGTCAATTCTAAATGGATTTGAATTTTTTTTTTTTATATAAAAGGATATATTTACAGATGAAAAGTTTTTTTTTAAAACCGGTTCAGTAATTCAGTTTTTAAATCAAAACATATGTTAATATAAACGTGTGTCATCTGCTTGTAGAGGAAGGTATTTTATTAATCCTATTTTATTAATATTTTTAATATATTAATAAAATAACATTGCTGCTGAACACAATCCTCCACTTTAAGGGGTTTTGCCAGTAGTTGCCACGTTTGGCAGGCGGCTTGGCAACCGCAGTTAAGCTTTGGAGATGTTTTCAGAGGGACGCTGTTGCCTTTCCTTTGCTCTCACTTACATAGTCGCCTCTTACGACATCCATGGGAAAGTAAGGGGTGGCCTATTTTATGCCGGGACCACATGGTGAGGAAGGCTGGAATATGGCAGTGTATATATAAGGTACGGAGGCATAAAAAGTTCCGAGGGAAAGAGATTGTTAATTATATAGGCGACGGTCACCGCTTTGTATCAAGTAGTCCCTCATTATGCCATTGTAAGTTTTATATATATATATATATATATATATATATATATATATATATATATATATATATATATATATATATATATATATATATATATATATATATAATACCGGCTTTATAATTCTTATAATTTTTATTCTTAAACGCATCTGAGTATCGTGTTTCGAAACCGGTCGCTAGTGTAAACACATTTGACAATAAATACATTAGAAATATTTTAAATTATATCAACATAATATCTCATATATATTCGAGTTCTCAATGTTGACTGGAAGAGATCCCTTTAAGGGAAAACTCCGGCTGTGTATATTTTTGCTATAACCTAATATCTATACTATAAATAAATATACAAAAGCATATAAATAAATGAATATAATTTATTTTTTATTTCAGCCGTTAACTGTCCACTGCTGGACATAAGCCTTCCCCATAAGGGGAGTTTTACCAGTAGTTCCCGCACTTGGCAGGCGGTTTTTTTTATGGGTGAAAATAGTATGGGAACCCCGCCTGCGCTAACGGGATACGCTGGCGGAGCACCAGTGAAGGGTGATAGATGAGAATGAAAACAGGCCAGTTAGCCTATCATGATGAATTCATCAGGAATTAACCATGATAGTTTCCAGGGGGAACCGCGAGGAGGTCGACCTGGTTGGGTATATTGCTAGCGATGGGATTCTCAGTCTCCATTACTAACAATCCTTCATAGTGAACAATGTTTCATAGTGAACCCCGTTTACAGACAATAACTTAAGCTATTGCAGCTGATGTGTGCAGATAAGAAACTTCTTAATGAAACCTGGTTTAAACGAAAATATAATAGAGAAATCCCGAGTTGTCTGCTCTCAATTAGCTGCAAAAATCAGCTATCAGGTAAATCTGGTTCTTCTTTTAAGAAAAAAGTAACACTAGGTATAATTATATATTGCCGGGGGGAAAAGGGATTGTTAGTAATGGAGACTGAGAATCCTATTGCTAACAATATACCCAACCAGGTCGACCTCCTCGCGGTTCCCCTTTGGAAACTATCATGGTTAATTCCTGATGAATTCATCATGATGAGCTAACTGGCCTGTTTTCATTCTCATCTATCACCCTTCACTGGTGCTCCGCCAGCGTATCCCGTTAGCGCAGGCGGGGCTACAATACCATTTTCACCATAAAAAAAATTATATATTGCCTACCAAATTAAAAGTAGCAATTTCACATGAAAACAAAATTATCAGACATACCTACAGGAGAAAAATTTACTCTGAGTGACTACATTACTCATTTGGCAACAACAATTTGTCCTCAGGAATGGCAACGCATGGGGGGTATCATGGGCGAAACAGTATACTCTGTTATGTCCATGATACTGCTCATGTCTATAGGCGACGGTTACCACTTTCCATCAGGGGGATCGTCAGCTTGTTTGCCATTCTAAGTCGTATAAAAAAAATGTTAAAATTTAATTTAAAAAACTACTAAAACTGATTTAAAAAGAGAATACAACAAACTTATATTTGCTCTACTCCATTTTTTGCCCTCATTTGTATGAAATTCTATCAAATCTAATTTTATCAAATTTTGTTATAGATTTAGAAAATAGAAACAATTAAATCTTGCTCAATTTAACAAATTTAATTAAAAAATTATAAATCGATTTAGAACTAACGGAGTTATGTTACGGAGGTAATAAACGTAAAAAAAACACGACCGAATTGAGAATGTCCACCTTTTTTAAATCGATTGCAAATTAGATTAATTTCTAAATTATATCCTTTAATTTTATTGCCATTCAATCGAAACACAGCCTTGCGACCACAGCTACAACACGAGTGAGTTAGAAGAACATACATTAAAGTTTTTTTTTTTTTATAATTAATAGATACAAACTTATATACATAGGCTTTTCGCGACTTTTTTGCCAGAGGGAGACTGTACAAAAGTCGATTGCTTGGGTACCTCTGTCCCGTTCATGTTTCTACTCTGAAATAGTTGTATTTGCATGGCTGTATTTCGGTTTGAAGGGTGAGATATGGCATAAATTTACAGGGTACAGAGGAATAACATCTGAGTCCTCAGGAATAGCAACGCATGGGGGGTATGTCCATGGTACTGCTCATGTCTATAGGCGACGGTTACCACTTTCCATTAGGTGGGCCGTTAGCTTGTTTGCTATTCTAAGTTGTATAAAAAAAAAAACTCGACTTATATCGTTCCGCCACCACCGTATTCGTCCGATTTGGCTCCGTGCGACTTCTGGCTATTCAGGAAACTCCAAGACCAATGCGGGGACGCCGTTTTGACACGATTGAAGAGATAAAAACCGAATCGAAGAAGGTCTTGAAGGTTATATCAGAAAAAAATTCCGACTGTTTTGAGAACTGAAAAAAGCGTTGGTAAAAGTGTGTTTTATTGATAGATAGATAGATAACCTTTATTACCAAGTATTAAGAAAATAAAAAATTAAAACAACAAAAAGAAAAAAAAACAATTAATGTTGCTGGTTATAGGAGCCGCCTCAGCTGTTGCTATATATATATGTACAGCATGTATGTATTGGATGGGGGCTACTTTGAAAGAGGTGAAGTTAATTGAAAGAAAGAAAGAAAAAAACTTTATTTTACAAGAAATATGCGACGGCACCCACACAGGGGTTAAAAAAAATCCATATATTAAGAATTATAATAAAGAAACAAAACAAAAAATATTTAAATTTAAAAAAAAAAAAAAAAAAATTGGGAGGAATAAATAAAAAAATTATAAACTTTATAAACCAATTCATCTTACTTTTCGATAACAGATAATATGACATGATTCAAAAGACGGATTTAATGCTAAATGGTATTTTTGTTTTCTAGTTGACCTCGTGATGTAGCTGTGACTTTTTGATGAAACTTAATTATAACGATTATATCATTTATTTATTCACCGTGTGGTCCCGGCATAGAACGGGCCACCTCTTCCGTTCCTGTGGCTATAATAAGAGGCGACTAAGGAGGGCGAGGGATGGGCAGCAGCGTCCCTCTTAAAACATCTCTAAAAGCCTAACTGCGGTTGCCAACCCGCCTGCCAGGTGGGGGGAAAAGGATTGTTAGTAATGGAGACTGAGAATCCCATCGCTAGCAATATACCCAACCAGGTCGACCTCCTCGCGGTTCCCCCTGGAAACTATCATGGTTAATTCCTGATGAATTCATCATGATAGGCTAACTGGCCTGTTTTCATTCTCATCTATCACCCTTCACTGGTGCTCCGCCAGCGTATCCCGTTAGCGCAGGCGGGGTTCCCATACTATTTTCACCCATAAAAAAAACCGCCTGCCAAGTGCGGGAACTACTGGTAAAACTCCCCTTATGGGGAAGGCTTATGTCCAGCAGTGGACAGTTAACGGCTGAAATAAAAAATAAATTATATTCATTTATTTATATGCTTTTGTATATTTATTTATAGTATAGATATTAGGTTATAGCAAAAATATACACAGCCGGAGTTTTCCCTTAAAGGGATCTCTTCCAGTCAACATTGAGAACTCGAATATATATGAGATATTATGTTGATATAATTTAAAATATTTCTAATGTATTTATTGTCAAATGTGTTTACACTAGCGACCGGTTTCGAAACACGATACTCAGATGCGTTTAAGAATAAAAATTATAAGAATTATAAAGCCGGTATTATATATATATATATATATATAATACCGGCTTTATAATTCTTATAATTTTTATTCTTAAACGCATCTGAGTATCGTGTTTCGAAACCGGTCGCTAGTGTAAACACATTTGACAATAAATACATTAGAAATATTTTAAATTATATCAACATAATATCTCATATATATTCGAGTTCTCAATGTTGACTGGAAGAGATCCCTTTAAGGGAAAACTCCGGCTGTGTATATTTTTGCTATAACCTAATATCTATACTATAAATAAATATACAAAAGCATATAAATAAATGAATATAATTTATTTTTTATTTCAGCCGTTAACTGTCCACTGCTGGACATAAGCCTTCCCCATAAGGGGAGTTTTACCAGTAGTTCCCGCACTTGGCAGGCGGTTTTTTTTATGGGTGAAAATAGTATGGGAACCCCGCCTGCGCTAACGGGATACGCTGGCGGAGCACCAGTGAAGGGTGATAGATGAGAATGAAAACAGGCCAGTTAGCCTATCATGATGAATTCATCAGGAATTAACCATGATAGTTTCCAGGGGGAACCGCGAGGAGGTCGACCTGGTTGGGTATATTGCTAGCGATGGGATTCTCAGTCTCCATTACTAACAATCCTTTTCCCCCCACCTGGCAGGCGGGTTGGCAACCGCAGTTAGGCTTTTAGAGATGTTTTAAGAGGGACGCTGCTGCCCATCCCTCGCCCTCCTTAGTCGCCTCTTATTATAGCCACAGGAACGGAAGAGGTGGCCCGTTCTATGCCGGGACCACACGGTGAATAAATAAATGATATAATCGTTATAATTAAGTTTCATCAAAAAGTCACAGCTACATCACGAGGTCAACTAGAAAACAAAAATACCATTTAGCATTAAATCCGTCTTTTGAATCATGTCATATTATCTGTTATCGAAAAGTAAGATGAATTGGTTTATAAAGTTTATAATTTTTTTATTTATTCCTCCCAATTTTTTTTTTTTTTTTTTTAAATTTAAATATTTTTTGTTTTGTTTCTTTATTATAATTCTTAATATATGGATTTTTTTTAACCCCTGTGTGGGTGCCGTCGCATATTTCTTGTAAAATAAAGTTTTTTTCTTTCTTTCTTTCAATTAACTTCACCTCTTTCAAAGTAGCCCCCATCCAATACATACATGCTGTACATATATATATAGCAACAGCTGAGGCGGCTCCTATAACCAGCAACATTAATTGTTTTTTTTTCTTTTTGTTGTTTTAATTTTTTATTTTCTTAATACTTGGTAATAAAGGTTATCTATCTATCTATCAATAAAACACACTTTTACCAACGCTTTTTTCAGTTCTCAAAACAGTCGGAATTTTTTTCTGATATAACCTTCAAGACCTTCTTCGATTCGGTTTTTATCTCTTCAATCGTGTCAAAACGGCGTCCCCGCATTGGTCTTGGAGTTTCCTGAATAGCCAGAAGTCGCACGGAGCCAAATCGGACGAATACGGTGGTGGCGGAACGATATAAGTCGAGTTTTTTTTTTTTATACAACTTAGAATAGCAAACAAGCTAACGGCCCACCTAATGGAAAGTGGTAACCGTCGCCTATAGACATGAGCAGTACCATGGACATACCCCCCATGCGTTGCTATTCCTGAGGACTCAGATGTTATTCCTCTGTACCCTGTAAATTTATGCCATATCTCACCCTTCAAACCGAAATACAGCCATGCAAATACAACTATTTCAGAGTAGAAACATGAACGGGACAGAGGTACCCAAGCAATCGACTTTTGTACAGTCTCCCTCTGGCAAAAAAGTCGCGAAAAGCCTATGTATATAAGTTTGTATCTATTAATTATAAAAAAAAAAAAACTTTAATGTATGTTCTTCTAACTCACTCGTGTTGTAGCTGTGGTCGCAAGGCTGTGTTTCGATTGAATGGCAATAAAATTAAAGGATATAATTTAGAAATTAATCTAATTTGCAATCGATTTAAAAAAGGTGGACATTCTCAATTCGGTCGTGTTTTTTTTACGTTTATTACCTCCGTAACATAACTCCGTTAGTTCTAAATCGATTTATAATTTTTTAATTAAATTTGTTAAATTGAGCAAGATTTAATTGTTTCTATTTTCTAAATCTATAACAAAATTTGATAAAATTAGATTTGATAGAATTTCATACAAATGAGGGCAAAAAATGGAGTAGAGCAAATATAAGTTTGTTGTATTCTCTTTTTAAATCAGTTTTAGTAGTTTTTTAAATTAAATTTTAACATTTTTTTTATACGACTTAGAATGGCAAACAAGCTGACGATCCCCCTGATGGAAAGTGGTAACCGTCGCCTATAGACATGAGCAGTATCATGGACATAACAGAGTATACTGTTTCGCCCATGATACCCCCCATGCGTTGCCATTCCTGAGGACAAATTGTTGTTGCCAAATGAGTAATGTAGTCACTCAGAGTAAATTTTTCTCCTGTAGGTATGTCTGATAATTTTGTTTTCATGTGAAATTGCTACTTTTAATTTGGTAGGCAATATATAATTTTTTTTTATGGTGAAAATGGTATTGTAGCCCCGCCTGCGCTAACGGGATACGCTGGCGGAGCACCAGTGAAGGGTGATAGATGAGAATGAAAACAGGCCAGTTAGCTCATCATGATGAATTCATCAGGAATTAACCATGATAGTTTCCAAAGGGGAACCGCGAGGAGGTCGACCTGGTTGGGTATATTGTTAGCAATAGGATTCTCAGTCTCCATTACTAACAATCCCTTTTCCCCCGGCAATATATAATTATACCTAGTGTTACTTTTTTCTTAAAAGAAGAACCAGATTTACCTGATAGCTGATTTTTGCAGCTAATTGAGAGCAGACAACTCGGGATTTCTCTATTATATTTTCGTTTAAACCAGGTTTCATTAAGAAGTTTCTTATCTGCACACATCAGCTGCAATAGCTTAAGTTATTGTCTGTAAACGGGGTTCACTATGAAACATTATTTAGAACTTTAAATTCGAATTTCGTGTGAACTACGGCACGTATTCATACCGAATTCAGGAGGTCTACTATGACATAAAATTCCGAATTTTCGGACTCATTTTCGTGATTTTGTTCATACCGAAAACTTCTCAGTAAATGGCGTTTAACATTTCGTTTGTCCTACCATATTTTTTAATTTTTATTTTTACCGCAAGCCATCTACAGGTAATTCGTTTTCATACGCTTGAATCTAAATGGTCACGTACAGTGCGGTTTCAAAGGAATTTTCTCCCATGAACGCTCAAGCTGTCGAATGAATTTCTTGCCGAAGTTTTCCCTAAAGATTACAGTATGGAGTTTTTAATAAGGGCATATTAAATTTAATTCAGGGTCGGCGATGCGCATGTGACACTCCTAGTGTTGCAGGCGCCCATAGGCTACAGTGACCGTTTACCATCAGACGGGCTGTATGCTTATTTGCCGCTTTCGTGGTATAAAAAGAATTAAAACCGTATTTTGTAATTTAATCATAAAATTTTAGTTTCATTCAGCATCGAAATTTTGGTAAACATTTCATGGTAGCTCCTCTGATCCATAATACATATATGTTACATTTACCAGAGGGAGACTTTGTACAAAAGTCGATTGTTGGGTACCTCTGTTCCATTCGTGTTTCTACCGTGAAGCAGTTGTGTTTGCATGGCTGTGTTTCGGTTTGAAGGGTGGGATATGACGTGAATTTACAGGGTACAGAGGAATAACACCTGAGTCCTCAGTAATGGTAACGCATGGGGGGTATCATGGGCGAAACAGTATACTCTGTTATGTCCATGGCACTGCTCATGTCTATAGGCGACGGTTACCACTTTCCATCAGCTTGTTTGCCATTCTAAGTAGTATAAAAAAAAAGTATAGATATCAATTTGACAATTTCTCGTTATTTTTTTTTATATAACTGTTATATATAGCCATATTTTTTTATTTCGACCCCGATATTTATAAGAAAGTCTTGATTCCAATGAGTAGGTAAGTAGATTTACATTCTCGTTAGATTTTTTTTAATGGATAATAATAGAATAGTAATCCCGCCTGCGCTAACGGTATACACTGACGGGGCACCAGTGAGGGATGATAAATGAGAATGGAAAGGCAGGTCAGTTAGCCCATCATGACGAATACACCTGGAATTTAGCACAATGATTTCCAAGGGGGACCACGTGGACGTCAACCTGACGTTCTCGTTAAAATATAAAATAATATAAACTTCGCAGAATATAAATTTAATATTATAAATACGAAACAATTTCAGGCAGATTCGTTATAATTATTAAATTACGCTAAATTTCGAGTTAGTTAACCTCTTAGTTACTAATTTCTGTTAAGCCTCCGAGCAATCTTTGGTCTTAATCCAAGACGAGCTCCTTCAGAGGCACCTTGTCGAAGAGTTTTCGTATCTCAGCGACTATTTTCTTCATCACCGCGTCCATGATCGGCTGGGACAACTCATTGAAGATGTCTTTCCAGTTGCTGTTGGCGAACTCGTGTATCGAATCCGCTGTAACCGTTTTTAGAACCGTTTTCAAAAGAGCTTTCATCTATACTCGTAGAAAACTATACTATCTGCGGATAACATGAGCTACATAAATGAAAAGACAATGGGTTTCGTTAAGAAAAAATGTTCCTGTATTAATTGTAGTTTTTTGTTTTTTTTTTAATGCATGATTAATGGAATGGCAACCCCGCATGCGCTAACGGTATACGCTGGCGGGGCACTAGTGAGGGATGATAGGTGAATAATAAAAAAGCAAGTCAGTCAGTGAATACACCTGGAACTCAGCACGATGGTTTCCAGGGGAAACGGCGTGGAGGTCGACCTGACAGGGTATATTGTTAGCAATGGGACTGGTAGCCCACATTACTAACGATCCCTTCCCCCCTATTAATTGTAGTTACCCACACGTGCGAAGTCGGGGCGGATCGCTAGTGTGGAATATAATCATCTTGATATTACCAAAGAATAATTTGGTAATAACAAGTAATAGCAAGGCTTACAGACACAATACCCACTAAAAATAATATATATATATATATATATATATATATATATATATATATATATATATATATATATATATATATATATATATATATATATATATATATATATATAAAAAACTACAGGCAAGGTATAAGCAAAGCCATGGATTTTACAGAGTATTTTGTAAAGTCCGTTGTAGGCAACGATTACCGCTTTCCATCATGTGGTGATGGCCCATACATGGCCCAAATATATATATAAATGTATATGTGTATAAGTATAAAAATATATTTTTTTTAATGGATGATAATGGAATGGTGGCCTGCGCTAACTTTATACGCTGGCGGGATACCTATGAAGGATGATAGGTGACAATGAAAAGACAGGTCAGTTAGCCTATCGTGATGAATCCACTTGAAATAGAACACGATAGTTTCCAGGAGGAACCGCGAGGAGGTCGACCTGACAGGGTGCATTGCTAACAATTGGGCTACTAATCCCCATTTTTAACAATATATAGGGGGATAATATATTTGTATTATTAAGTGGTGCAATAAAGAGTAAATAAATAAAAAAATAACAATTATGCCGTCATCAGAGTTACTGTTGGTAGCAAAAAACAAAAAGTTATTTATACTTACAAAGTTCCTTATTGCCGTTGAAGAGATTCTGGAAGTGAAAGCGTACATTTCCGTCCACCTGCTGGTTGTATCTCCAGTTTTGGAAGACCCAGTATACGTCTCCGGCAGATCGGCGCTCTCCCATTTCGAATGAAAAGTCCACTATGATGTCGGCTGTGAGAAGAATTACATAGCTTTACTTATTTACCAAAGGGAATAGAGACCTTCAATAAAAAAGCATATTCTTTCCTAAAAGATCGGCAACACGCCTGCAATTTTCCTGATGTTGCAGGTGCCTATAGGCGGTGGTAATTATTTACCACCAGCTATGTTATTAAAAAAGGGAGTTCGCAAACAAGTGCATTTTGTTCCAAATTTAAAACAAAAACAAACAAAAAACACAGTAAAGCACAGAAACGAAGTAGGAGACTTTGTAAATAAATCGTTTGAGGCAGTTGGGTTTGCATGGCTGTGTTTCGGTTTGAAGGATGGGATATGGCAGTGAATTTACAGGGTACAGAATCCTCAGGAATGGCAATGCAAAGGGGGTATCATGGGCGAAATAGTATATTCTGTTATGTCCATGGTACAGTTCATGTCTATAGGCGACTGTTACCTCAGGTGGGCCGTCAGCTTGTTTGCCATTCTAAGTGGCATAAAAAAGCAACATAATACGACCACGTGGACAAAGTAGCGGGTAAAAACTATATAAATTGAATATGAACAGCAGAGAATGTTCAACATACTTATCTTGATCTTGTATTTGCCGCTTCCCTCGATGGGCATGATGAGCAGTTTGCCGTTAAGCTTGTAGTCCCCAATCAGTACCGCTGAACACTTGGTCTTGATCTTTATCTTGTTGTCTTTGCGTCTGGAAGTATAATGAAATTGTGATATGTAGTTTGTTGATGAGTTTTAAAGAGTAAAATAATTAATGTCATAAAATCACGCCAATCGCCTGGTCCCTAATCTAAAATACCCTGTGTCGTGAAGGACCAAGTAACAATAATCCGGAAGGACAGCTAGAACACTCAGACCGGAGCCAATTCATAAAATTTCTTGTCCTAAATTGGCTCAATTTAGAATGGAACTTGGGACCTCGTTCGCAAAAAAGCATGCCCATGATAACGCCACGAAAGTCGTAATGAATGTAAAATGAAAAAGAACTTGTAACCCCGATTGTACTGACCACAAGGAGTTAACAGTTCAATACTGAAGGAAGATAGATGGAGTCAGGTTAATGCGGATTGTGACAAATTTAAGGTAATAACCGTGATGGTTTGAGGAACTGACAGGGTATATTGCTAGCGATGAACCAATTGGTTTACAAGACATTATTACTAATAAATCCCCCCCTCCCCTTCCCTCACATAATGAGATTATCTCAGAATCTTAATATCACAAGGGACAGCAATAGGCAAATGATGTTTCTATTGTACATGTAAGCGCTAAAACTAGCTAGCAAATCTATACTTATAATAAATCTGTCTAAAGAGGTCAATTCTGTACATAAAATATATTACCAAAATAACTATCAGGGGATGATTAGTGATCGATACTGATGACAAAAATGCAATCAGTAAAATTTTTGTCTGTCTGTCTGTATGTTCGTTATAGAGACAAAAACTACTCGACGGACTTTAACGAAACATGGTACAATTATTCTTCATACTCCTGGGCAGGTTATAGTATACTTTTCATCACGCTACGATCAATAGGAGCAGAGTAGTGAAGGGAAATGTGTCTGTTACATCAAAACCACTGAACCGTAAGGAAGGATATAGGCTACTTATTTTACGAAAAACGACGGGAACGCGGACGAAGTCGCTGACAACAGCTAGTGGACAATAAAAATAAATAAGACGAAGATGGGACCAACATTATACAGAGTCGTTCTCTTGTATCTTTGTGGTTTCGTCGATGAGTTAATAATTGAACAATAATTGTTACATATTCATAATCCATTAATATCCCATTACTGAACACGGTACTGTTTCTAGAACTGAGGCGGATATTTGATAATAATCTTCCACTACCACGCTAGCCAGGCTTGAAAATATGCAGTAGTGTATTGCGTTTCTCTAGGTACCTTTTGCTTTATTAGAGTGAAAACCAGCGACGACCCATTGTTATTATTCCTTTACCAAAATATTAGAGTTCGAACAATGGAGTCATCATCATCACCTTCATCTCAGCTTTAGTCTGTCCACTGCTGCACATAGGCCTCCCCCATAGACTGCCATAAGAAACTTTCCTGAACCACCTGTATCGACTAACTTCCTACAATGCATTTGAGGTCGTCACTCCATCAAGTCCATCTAGTCATCCTATACTGTTTTAAGAAAATTTATAGTCGAGGAATAGGCAGTAGCGTCTCTCTTAAAACATCACTAAAAGCCAAACTGCGGTTGCCAACTCGCATGCCAAACATGACAATTATTGGCAGAACCCTCCAATGGTAATAAGAGAGTACTCACGTTAAATCCAGTACGATGCACTTCCGCAGTCCTTTGACGACGCTATTCTTGAAGTCCATTTGGAGTCCAGCTTGGTTAGACTTGATCCGACTGATGTGCATCGGGTCCATTGAAATCATTTGAAGGTCGGCGTACCCCGCAGCTAGTACAGGCACCGCCTTTTGGGCAGTTGTCTTCAGGCAACTGCTATCCGATTGCCGACATGGTGTTATGAACGGCGCTGGAATATGTAATAATAAAAAAGGTTTGTAGATAAGCTTTAAGGGATGAAAATGAGATGGTAATTTCACCTGTAAAATTTAGAAGATTTAGTAGTTTTTTACACAGACTCGAGTCTCACCTTAATACGAAAATGTCCAGAAGACTTTGCACAAAAGTCGATTGCTGTGTTTCGGTTTGAAGGGTGGGATATGGCATGAATTTACTGGGTACAGAGAAATAACAAATGAGTTCTCAGGAATGGCAACGCATGGGGGGGTATCATGGGCGAAACAGTATACTCTGTTATATGCATGGTACTGCTCATGTTTATAGGCGACGGTTACCACTTTCCATCAGGTGGGCCGTCAGCTTGTTTGCCATTCTAAGTTGCATAAAAAAAAAGATTATCACTACAATCTCTGTCCACTGCTGAACATAAGCCTCCCCCACAAGTGGGGGTTTGCCAGTAGTCACCACGTTTTACAGGCGAGTTGGCAACTGCAGTCAACTTTCGTAATATATTAAAAGGGACGCTGCTGTCCATTGAGCATTTAGTTCCCTTAATCACCTCTTATGATACCCACGGGAAGGGAAGATGGTCCATTCTAGGCCAGGACGTACAAGGCGTTACAGTATTCGTCCACGATAATCTTCGAAACAGCTTATACGGTTTTAAATAAACTGTGTTGGCGCCAATTTTGTAATATATTCAGATAGTTTGTTACCGATAGGATAGTTCTTAAAAAAATCTAACCCAGTAGATAGCGATATAGTGGTAAGAGACATAACGTGTGCTCGATTAGCTAGATAATTTATAGATTTTTCCTTTTTTTTTTATACCACTGAGGTGGCAAACAAACATACGGCCCACTTGATGGTAAGCGGTTACCGTAGCCTATGAACGCCTGCAATACCAAAGGTATTACGCGCGCGTTGCCGACCCTGAAGAAACCTATTAACCCCCTTTTTGAAGCATCCCTTGCTGTAGTCTCTTGGGAAAACCTCGGTAGGGACCTCATTCCATATCCTGAGTGTTTGTGGGAGAAAGCATCTCTGAAACCGCGCTGTACGCGACCATTTAGGCTGTAGGGTGTGAACTATCTGTCGATGGCGAGCCGTACGATGATAGAAAGTGGCTGTATAGGCATCATATTGAATAATTCCTCTGAGCACAATCCGTTGTACAAGTGGTAGAACACGCAGAGTGAGGCAAAATAGAAACATTAATTGTAATAATATACTATCAACACAAGACTAACACAATTTTATTGGGGTAAAGGGATCGTTGATAATAGGATCTAACAATCCTATTGCTAGGAATATCCCCAGCAGGTCGACCTTCACGTGATTCCTCCTGGAAACCACCATGATCAATTTTTGACGTATTCGCCACGATAGGCGAACTGACCTGCTTTATCCTCACCTATTACCTCTCACTGGTGCCCCGCCAACGTATACTGATAGCCCAAGCGGGGATACCATTTCATCATCAATCATTAAAAAGTAAACCCAATTTTATGATGACATAACATACAAAAATACATTTGAACAATCGTCATACAATACTATTTTCATGTAATAACGATACAGATGCAATTATTATGTAAAAACAAAAAAACACGAAAGAAAACTAGAAAACCAGAGGGAGACTTTATACAAAAGTCGTTTGCTTGGGTACCTCTGTCCCGTTCGTGTTTCAACCGTAAAGCAGTTGTGTTTACATTGCTGTGTTTCGGTTTAAAGGGTGGGATATGGCATGAATTTACAGGGTACAGAGGAATAACACCTGAGTCCTCAGGAATGGCAACGCATGGAAGGTATCGTGAGCGAAACAGTATACTCTGTTATGTCCATACTGCTCATGTCTATAGGCGACGGTTACCACTTTCCATCAACCGTTGTTAATCAATTTTGTAATTCACTGTTTTCAAATAAAGATTATTATTATTATTATCAGGTGAGTCATCAGGTTATTTGCCATTCTAAGTTGTATAAAAAAAGACTTTTTATGTCATTAGAAAAAATCTTCAAAGATCATGTCTCTTACGTATTAAAAATCTATAAATAATGGGTATTATTCTAATGAATATTTAATTACTAATTTTGTAAGCAATTATGATAAAAAATACATTAACATGACGTATAAGACATACTACTTCTATTATACTCCCTTGAAACATACCAAGATTTTACTGGCATAAACTAGCTTCTGTTGGCAACTTCGTAAATGTAGATTTTGAAACTACAGAAATGAATGATAAAGACCATTTACAAGTAATATATCAAAATAAAAGAGACTGTAATTTTTAAATTTGACCTTCTCGAATACAACTGTGAAAATCGCATCTAATTTAGAGCAATACCTTTTGCATGATACCGAAACAAATATATCATCATCAGCCTTGAACTGTCCACTGCTGAACACAAGGTTTAACGATTTTGCCAGTAGTTGCCACGCTTGGCAGGCAGATTGGCAACCGCAGTTGGGCTTTGTAGATGTTTTAAGAGGGACGCTGCTATCCAATATAATATAGACAGATAAAAATTTTGGAAAATCCTGTTTTGTTTTTTATTACTCTTATTTTATCTCTTATTAAGACCACTTGCATAATCCAAGGTTGATATAAAATTAAAAATGCCAAATTTCCGATATAATTTTACGCTATATTTGACCATTTTTTATTTCTACATTACAGCAAAGACATACCACAGATACTGCCTTAAGTTAAGGCCCTTAACACCACTCATATATTTTTTTTTAAATATCCCCTATGTACAGTACACCAGAAGGAGGCTTTGTACAAAAGTTGATTGCTTGGGTACCTCTGTCTCATTTGTGTTTCAACCGTGAAGCAGTTGTGTTTGCATGGCTGTGTTTCGGTTTGAAGGGTGGGATATGGCGTGAATTTACTGGGTACAGAGGAATAACACCTGAGTCCTCAGGGATGGCAACGCATGGGGGTATCATGGGCGAAACAGTATACTCTGTTATGTCCATGCTACTGCTCATGTCTATAGGCGACGTTTACCACTTCCCATCAGTCAGGTGGACCGTCAGCTTGTTTGCCATTCTAAGCTGTATAAAAAAAAAGTATTGTACAAGCATCGTCCAGTTACGGTATAATTATGTATAAATAGATTATTCTTATTGCATTCATGTTCGTCACACGCACATAAAGAACAAATGTACCTAACATTATATTCAACAAAAAATAAACGACTTTAATAGTGACGTGAACACAGCGATGGACGTCTAGAAGATTCGTAGGCATTATAGATACTTGGATTTACAACTCGGAAATACGTGTCTGCATGTACATATATAGGATTTGCAATAGTTTTTCGCTTCGTAATCTAATCCTAAACTAAGTAAAACTTGTACAGCTGATAGAAATAACATAAACTCTTTTTTTTTGTAAATATGTAGAAAACACCTAGACCTAGGGGGGAAGGAATTATTGGCCTGGGATCTAGCTTTTTTCATTGCTAGCAATAAATTTTATCAGGTCGACCTCCTCGTCATCCCAGGAAACTATCATGTTTAATTCCAGGTGAATTCATCACGATAGGCCAACTGACTTGTCTTTTCATAGTCATTAATCATCTCTTATTGCGTGCCTATACCATTTGGCGCAGGCGGGGTTGCTATTCCATTATCATCCATAAAAAAAAAAAAAACACTTAAACCAATACAATTAGATAACCTTATTCATAGAGTCAAATATTTTTAAGTACTGTGCAGGAATCGAATCCGCGACCATTGGAAGGTAAAGTGGTATGTTAAACTGCTAGATCATCAAGATCGCCAATTTTGAAAATTGTTTCAGTATTAACGTCATCATCTCGTAACATACCCAAAAGACAAATAACAATAACGACAAACGCCACCAGTGACACCCATCACCCGGCTCTCAAGTTAACATACCTTAACCTCTTGTTATGAAGAACCAGGCAGCGAATATTTGAGGTTACAATCCAGAATTCCCAGATCCGAGCTAAAAACCCGGGACCTTATTTACTCTTTTTTTTATACAACTTAGAATGGCAAATAAGCTGACGGCCCACCTGATGGAAAGTGGTAACATAACATAACAGACATAACAGAGTATACTGTTTCGCCCATGATATCCCCCATGCGTTGCCATTCCTGAGGATTCAGATGTAATTCTTTTGTACCCTGTAAATTCCCGCCATATCCCACCTTTCAAACCGAAATACAGCTATTCAAACACAACTGCTTCACGGTAGAAACACGAATGGGACAGAGGTATCCAAGTAATCGATTTTTGTACAAAATCTTCCTCTGGTAAAGCAAAGCAATGTATTCATTCCAGCAATGTATCCAGACCACGAAGATAATCAACTACTAAATACTAAAAAGTTTTGAAAATCCTTTGAAAATCGCATAATCCGCGCCTTTGTTTAGTTGTTAATCGAAGGAAGTTCTGAAGACAACCGGATAATAGTTGAGAACCTGGTATACGGTTGATAAATAATAATATAGCTGCCAAGTGCCGTTTGCTATTATTACTTTCACTGTGCCAGCGATTACTTGAGTGCATCACCTTGACATGCATACATATTGGTGTCAAACACAATCGTTATGTTTCCCTAGATCAGCATGTTTATAAACGCGTACCCATACTAGTAAACACAAAATAATACTACGTATAATAAAATTATCGCTTTGATAATGCACATGACTGAAATATTTTAGGAAAATTGATAAGACCAACAGAAGCCCAAATTATAATTTTTAAAATTTTGTCTGTCAATCTGAATGTTCGGATCTCACTCAAAAACTATTAAGACAAATTGGATACGGTCCTTACAGTTGTATTCCTGAAAATCCAATTTAAAATCTCGTGTATATTTTATTTTGTATGTAACTACCATGACCAATGTACTAGAGGGAGACTTTGTACAAAAGTCGTTTGCTTAGATACTTCTGTCCTATCTATGTTTCAACCGTGAAGTAATTGTGTTTGCATGGCTGTGTTTCAGTTTGAAGGGTGGGATATGGCGTGAATTTACTGGGTACAGAGGAATAACACCTGTGTCCTCAGGAATGGCAACGCATGGGAGCTAGCATGGGCGAAACAGTATACTCTGTTATATCCACGGTACTGCTCATGTCTATAGGCGACGGTTACCACTTTCCATCAGGTGGGCCGTCAGCTTGTTTGCCATTCTAAGTTGTATAAAAAAAAATCATTAAATTATGTATTCACGTCTGTAAGCAACGGTTACCAATTCCAATCACATAGATCGTCCAGCTTAATCGCCATTTTGATTTGCACAAACATATAGCCCATAATTAGGCTTCGATAACCATAAACAGATCAGAATAGGGAAAACTGAAGTCTCACATGGAAGAATTGATTCAAGAAAGTCTAAGATGATAATAATATTAATTAAAATTTGACAATTAAAACAAAAATAAACATCATTCTAGACAAATATTCGCAAGATTGACTGGAAGACATCTATTTGGAGTTAGTCCACCTATACCATCTACCTGTATATGTATTTATTTACCTAATTCTATAATATACAATTTTACATTAAGCACGCCCTTTGATAAAAGAAAAACATCAATATGTTTAAACTACTCGATTACCAGAGGAAGACATTGTACACAAGTCTTTTGCATGGATACCTCTGTCCCACCCTTGTTTCTGGCATGAAGCAGCTATAGTTGCATGGCTCTATCATTTGTATATCAATGGTGTATTATGAACATTAAATTATGAGGTACAGAGGCGTAATACCTTAGTGCATACAATGGTAACGCCAATAATGGGGCGTACCATGAGCATAGTATTTTATGATATATCTACGAGAATTTATAATTAGTTTTATTATACTTTTTAGTAAAAAGATATTATTTTCAGGATGTAATTTATAGCAATTCAAATCGGTCTTGACTCGTCAAATAAATATTTCAAAAAGAAGAGTGACCATACATTGATAATATAGCAAGAAAATAAAATCTTTTGTTTTTTTATGCAACTTAGAATGGCAAACAAGCTTAGGGCCCATTTGATGGAAAGAGGTAACCGTCGCCTATAGACATGAACAGTATCATGGACATAACAGAGTATATTGTTTCACACATGATACTCCCCTCTGCATTGCCATTCCTGAGGACTCGGGTGTTATGCCTCTGTACCCAGTAAATTCACTGCCATATCCCACCCTTCAAACTGAAACACAGCCATGCAAACACAATTACTTCACGATTAAGACATGAATAGGATAGAGGTAAACAAACAAAACGACTTTTGTACAAAGCCTCCCTCTAATGTTTGGTCCCCAGATGTATTATGGGTGTAAAAATATACCGCTTATTGTTTTAAGTGGTTTCATGACACCGTTATTGAATTTATAAAAAGCATTTGTAAATTATTCAGTTAATAAACATACTAAGTTAATTTATACAGAATGCCTAATAATTTTGGACAAGGCTGTATACATTGCAGGCTTAGATTATATAGATTGAATGTCTCCATAGAAATGCTTCGAGAAAAATGGGTCAAATTTGTTATACATATTTGCGTGATAAATAGTTAAGAGAATAAAGGAATCATTATAACTTTTATATTTATTTTGTCTTATAATTTCTGCATCTTTTTAATCCGTAAACACTTATTTTATTTATTAAATAATAAGTCAAAATACATTTTATGCTTAAGTATATAGTACACTGATAAAAAAAAACAAATCAGCTAATTTGACAATTAGCAGACAAAAAGTTAACCCCTTTGTTGAGACTGGATACTCTATCTATATAATCTAAGATTACGGGGCATGGAGGACTTCCTTAGTCCTCAGGAATGACAACGCACGAGGAATTCCTGTCACGGGAACTGTGTATTAGGTATAAAAAAAAGGCACAACTCACCCGTATTTCCTCCATAGGCACATATATACACAGAAAAACAAGTAAACAAGAAAAATAAAGTCTTCATTTTGTAGAACACTTGACTACTATCATGTAAGTGTCTCTAAACAGTGAAACCACTAATCTAGCAGTATTTATACCTATCGGATGGACCACAATCGATTATAAAAGCGGTTCACAATGAACCTTACTGGTACGGTAATAGAGGTGCTAATAAAGACAATATTTTGTTACAATAAACCCATGTCATCAATTCGTATCTTATTGATAAGTACGTAATATATGAATTAAGTTTTCAATAACAATTCATATGCAGCCTCAATTTCAGTGCCGGACTTAGGGGGGACGGACGGGGTACCGAGCTCAAAGGGGGCGCTGAGATCTAAGATGGCCGCTGTAGGGTCACACTGAAAGAAAGTAGATCTTATTATGAATGCTTAAAACTTGACAAATTTACAGTTTCCACTGCAGTGTCGTGCAAATTGCTATTAAAATCAGTACGTAATAAGACTGTATGTACATAACCTAAACCTATTGGGGGAGAGGGATTGTTAGTAATGGAGACTAAGAATCCCATTGCTAGCAATATACCCAACCAGGTCGACTTTTTCGCGGTTCCCCCTGGAAATTATCATGGTTAATTCCTGATGAATTCATCATGATGGGCTAACTGGCCTGTTTTCATTCTCATCGATCACCCTTCACTGGTGCTCCGCCAACGTATCCCATTAGCGCAGGCGGGATTACCATACCATTTTCACCCATCAAAAACTTAAATCTATTTTTTTATATGGGGTTTTCCATAGAGTTATAGATGAAAGGGATGTGTTAATAATAATAATTATTATTATTATTATATGTATAAGATTGGATGTGAGTGGAATGGAATTGGCTAGATTCCGGAATGAAAATTAAAATAAATGATGTAAACGAAAGGATAAATGTGTAGTTATGTCAGTATAGTTGATTGAATGATTGATTGATTGGTGTGTTTGATAGAGTTAATTTTTTTTTTATGTCGCCGTCGCCGCGTCGTCTATAATTTGCCCAGAGGCCCTAGGTAGTAGACTAAAGCCGGCCCTGCTCTGGCTGTAACTTTATCTGATATTATATTACGACGTGCGTTAATTGTGAACAAATTATATATTTTGACATAGGTAGAGTAAAATATATAAAATTGCCCACAAATTCATAATTGAAATTTGATAATAAAAAAAAATAGGAATAATTAAAATATTTCGATTCTGGATGCAGACATTACACAGTACAGACATGCAATAAAATTTCTTAGCACCTTCAAAAACAGGAGGTTTTCTTTTCGTCTGTATTTTCTCTGTGTAGACCTTCGGTAGACGACCTCTTTATGGCAGTCTGTGAGAGAGGCCCATGATCAGCAGTGACCGGATAATGGCTGAGATGTTATGACGATGATACTAGTAGAATTGGTCATACTAATCTGACAGCTGAACGCGACAATAGTTAGAAAAGCCACAGGTATTGCCGACTACTTTCTTGGTGTAGCGGTGTACACGTTGCTTTGCGTAACTGAGGTCGCGGGTTCGATTCCTTATCGGGCTTGTATTCCTTTATTGTAGACAAATATAGTGAACATTTAACTGTACAAAGGCGAGCTTATTTCTAATAAGAGATTTTATTTAATGAAATCAATTATTTAAAAGTAAAAATAGACACACATACAATTTATGTACATTGCAATAAAAACACTTATAATGATTAGCATAAACTTATTTGTAGGATAAATATATATAAAGTATAATATAAACTACATAATAATTACACAAAATACATAAAAACATATAGTTTATACATATACATACAAGGTGTATACATACATATATATAACATACATAATTTAAATACGGCATCAGAGTGACAGATAGATAGATAATCTTTATTGTTTCCTCCAAAAAATTGCAATAGTCAACTTATTCTAGATATAAACAAGTGATGGGTAATGCTCCCTGAATCGATGCTTCAATATATTTGCCAAATAAGCAATTCGGCCATTGCATTTTTGGCCCGAGTCTGGATTTTTTGGATTGTGCCTCTAGAAGTCTAGATGTTCGTTACCGGGTACATTCATAACTCATTTATTTAATTATATATTTACATAATATTATATATTATATATGGCCGGGTAGTCCGGGAATACAATAGGTCACTCCTTCGTTTCCCGTGTCGTAAGAAGGATGGGTAGCAGAGTCTCTCTCAAAACATCTCTAAAGCCTAACAGCCGTTGCCAATCAGCCTGTCAAGTGTGGCCATACTCCCCAAGGGGGAGGCTCACGTCCAGCAGTGGATAGTTAAAGGCTGACATAAAGATGATTAAAAAATATATGTCAAGTGTCTTAATGAACAGTGTCTGAGTGTCCAGTGTCTGAGTGTCCAGTGTCCAGTGGCTGAGTGTCCAGTGTCTGAGTGTCCAATATCCAGTGTCTGAGTGTCCAGTGTCCAGTGTCTGAGTGTCCAGTGTACAGTGTCTAGTGTCTGAGTGTCCAGTGTCCAGTGGCTGAGTGTCCAGTGTCTGAGTGTCCAGTGTCTGAATGTCGAGTGTGTGAGTGTACAGTGTCCAGTGTCTGAGTGTCCAGTGTCCAGTGTCTGAGTGCCGAGTGTCCGAGTGTCCAGTGTCTAGTGTCTGAGTGTCTGAGTGTCCAGTGTCCAGTGTCTGAGTGTCGAGTGTCCGAGTGTTCAGTGTCTAGTGTCTGAGTGTCCAGTGTCTGAGTGTCTAGTGTCTGAGTGTCCAGTGTCTGAGTATCCAGTGTCCAGTGTCTGAGTGTCGAGTGTCCAGTGTCTAGTGTCTGAGTGTCCAGTGTCTGAGTGTCGAGTGTACAGTGTCCGAGTGTCCAGTGTCTAGTGTCTGAGTGTCTGAGTGTCCAGTGTCCAGTGTCTGAGTGTCGAGTGTCCGAGTGTCCAGTGTCTAGTGTCCAGTGTCCAGTGTCCAGTGTCTAGTGTCTGAGTGTCTGAGTGTCCAGTGTCTGAGTGTCGAGTGTCTGAGTGTCCAGTGTCCAGTGTCCAGTCTCTGAGTGACGAGTGTCCGAGTCTCCAGTGTCTAGTGTCTGAGTGTCCAGTGTCCAGTGTCTGAGTGTCCAGTGTCCAGTGTCTAGTGTCTGAGTGTCCAGTGTCCAGTGTCTGAGTGTCCAGTGTCCAGTGTCTGAGTGTCCAGTGTCCAGTGTGTGAGTGTCCAGTGTCCAGTGTCTGAGTGTCCAGTGTCCAGTGTGTGAGTGTCCAGTGTCTGAGTGTCTGAGTGTCCAGTGTCCAGTATCTGAGTGTCGAGTGTCCGAGTGTCCAGTGTCTAGTGTCTGAATGTCCAGTGTCCAGTGTCTGAGTGTCCAGTGTCCGAGTGTCCAGTGTCTAGTGTCTGAGTGTCCAGTGTCCAGTGTCTGAGTATCCAGTGTCCAGTGTCTGAGTGTCCAGTGTCTAGTGTCTGAGTGTCCAGTGTCTGAGTGTCCAGTGTCTAGTGTCTGAGTATCCAGTGTCCAGTGTCTGAGTGTCTAGTGTCCAGTGTCTGAGTGTCGAGTGTCTGAGTGTCCAGTGTCTAGTGTCTGAGTGTCCAGTGTCTGAGTGTCTAGTGTCTGAGTGTCCAGTGTCTGAGTATCCAGTGTCCAGTGTCTGAGTGTCGAGTGTCCGAGTGTCCGAGTGTCCAGTGTCTAGTGTCCAGTGTCCAGTGTCCAGTGTCTAGTGTCTAGTGTCCAGTGTCCAGTGTCTGAGTGTCCAGTGTCCAGTGTCTGAGTGTCGAGTGTCCAGTGTCCAGTGTCTGAGTGTCGAGTGTCCGAGTGTCCAATGTCTAGTGTCCGAGTGTCTGAGTGTCCAGTGTCCAGTGTCTTAATGTCCAGTGTCTGAGTGTCCTGTGTCCAGTGTCTTAATGTCCAGTGTCTGAGTGTCCAGTGTCCAGTGTCTTAATGTCCAGTGTCTGAGTGTCCTGTGTCCAGTGTCTTAATGTCCAGTGTCTGAGTGTCCAGTGTCCAGTGTCTTAATGTCCAGTGTCTGAGTGTCCAGTGTCCAGTGTCTTAATGTCCAGTGTCTGAGTGTCCTGTGTCCAGTGTCTTAATGTCCAGTGTCTGAGTGTCCAGTGTCCAGTGTCTTAATGTCCAGTGTCTGAGTGTCCTGTGTCCAGTGTCTTAATGTCCAGTGTCTGAGTGTCCAGTGTCCAGTGTCTTAATGTCCAGTGTCTGAGTGTCCTGTGTCCAGTGTTTTAGTGTCCAGTATCTTAGTGTCCAATGTCTTAATCTCGTTTCTTTGTCCTCAAAAGTAAATACAAAAAGCACCTCCTGTCGTTAATTTTTTTTTTACCTTAAACTCTATAGATACGTCATATCGTTCCACCAGAATGTCGATAGACGATATCCATGCCGCTTAACTGAAATTAAGTGAAGTAAGTTAAGCATTAGTTGATGACCGGCTTACCTTGAAATAACCAGCAATATAGAATCTCAGATACCTACTCTGCTGACCTAAAGAAGCTGGAAGGTATTATACACATTGTTATAATTATTTATTTACTTACAGGAAAACCAGCTACACTATAAGTAAAGTGTAGGGTTAAAAACTAAATCACTAATAGGTTTTCACAAATAGTAATAAGATACATAGATTAAAGGTACTGCACATGAAACAAGTAAAACAAAAATTAACAAAAAATAAATAAAAAAGGATTAAAAAAAACCGAATGAAATACAAAGATAAAAATTAAATTAAAAATTAAACGTGACTAAAATATAGCCTTTTTATTAATACTCGTACAATACATATTCAAACAGATTATCGATTAAGAAACTGCTTGCTCAGTTGGTTACTCGTTGACATTATATTTTTCGAAAATAAATTCCCAAGAGACTACAGCATGGGGTTCTTCAAAAGGGGTGTAAAGAGGTTTCTTCAGGGTCGGCAACGCGCGCGTAATACCCCTGGTATTGCAGGCGTTCATAGGCTACGGTAACCACTTACCATCAGGTGGGCCGTATGCTTGTTTGCCACCTCAGTGGTATAAAAAAAATACTTTTATAAAAGTGAAAAAGGATGCAGGTTCATCACGATGGGCTAACTGACCTGCCTTTTCATTCTCACCTATCAACTCTCATTGATGTCCCATTAGCGTATACTGTTAGCACAGGCGGAATTACCATTCC